GGCCAGACTGCAGGTTCCACTGGAACTTGCGCAACTGTGGAAGGGACGTTTGGAGTCCTGCTGCAAGCAATTTTAGTATGTTATCAGAGACTTTTTGATTCCTAGCAGTAGTAAGCAAATGAAGAACAGTCACGGGTCTCATAAGGGTTCTGAACTTCATCTTTTTTCCATAGTTTTCCTTCAGACTTCTACCAGTGAACTGCATGAGGACTTTGTTTCTCCTGTTTTGTTTTTTATTTCATAGTATGGTGAGATACACTCTTATAAATATTATCAACTTCTTAATGAAATAAAGGGATTATTTTACCTACATCTGGCCCTGCCCTTTAGAGTCATAAAGAAGAAATGATGTATTTGCCTACATGTCTCACTGATTAAGGACCTGCATGGAGAAGGCTGACAGGCAGGCTGTGGTGTTATTTCATGTCATTATACATCTTGTGCTGACCCATAGAAAAGGATTTCTCTCAAGTCAAACACCTATATGTGGCTTAAGAGGTAATAAAGTATTGCTTTTGTCTAGGGTTTCACTCTTTCTGTTTGAAAATTCATTGTAGGTTTGATACGCATTTTGTTGGTAGTAGTGTAGGCTTAAAGAGTTTTTACTTATTTTGCTTACATTCCACTCTTTCACTTGTGCTACTGCAGTTGTTTATGGAGGGGCTACACAGTTAACTTGGCTGGGAAACTGATCCAGTTAAAAATAATCCTTTTTTATCTGAATATTAATAACTCTGGTCAGTTCTGGCATCCAGTTGGCTGTAGTACTCTACGAATGATTGTGTCAGCAAAAATGAGAGGCAGTGTTAGGGAATGTTTCTGAATCAGCAATGCTATGAAACTGTAGCAAAAACTATTCATTTTTAATTAGAAGGTCCCGACTGGATACTACCCTGCAGCTGCTTTGATTCTTCAGCGTCTTTTTCTGCTCTGACTTTCTAGAAGTACCTGCTGGACAGATTTTCATTTGCAAGCATAACTTTTTTGTATATTCTTTGTTCATAAAACAGAAATTTGGAGTTGGTAACAGGATCTTGACTGTTTGTGGCAGATAAACATGTTACTAGGGAAAAATATCTCAACCCATATGTGATAGCTATACATTTTCTAGAGTCAGGCTGAAGCTGGCCATTTGTAAGTCTGAATGTGAGTGTGGCCACTTGTTAGACAGGACAGGTGCATTTTTCTGCACCTGTGTTTATAAAGTGTAACCATGAGGGTCTAGTCTGATGTCTTTCTGCCAGAAGCACTGGCTGCATGCTTGAAGATGGAGAAAAAGGCTTTGTTGTGCACTTGGCCTGAAATGGCTGGAGAACAGAGTTCAATGTTGATGATCTCTTTCCATTTGTTGCTTCAAAGAGACTATAAACCAGATATTTGGGTTAATTCAGAAGGTCTGTGAGATGGGTGGAATTTTCTTCATTGGTTAATTTATTTTTTTTCTTGATTGCTTAAAACAAGACCGAAAAGTCTTCAACATACTTATTTGTATCAGTTACATAAAAAAGTACATACAGATCTATTTTTGCCTTCTGAGTTACCTATCAATAAAAAAAACTGTGGCTTATACATTTTGTAAAATATAATTGAAATGCTGCTCAGCATTAAATAGTGCATGTAAGTAGCAGAATACACAATATAAAATTCACAATCTTCTTAAATTGCATAAGCATGTAAAATGCAAAGAGGTATTTGAGCCATCTAGTGGTTGGTATGAAACATTTTAACTTTTTTGGCAGTTTATAGAAAATGTAAATGAGATCGGCTTGGAAATAACATTTCTTGTTTGCCTGCTTTCTAATAGCATGGCTGTAAAATGAAAAAAATCCAGATATTCAACTTCAAATTTGAAGTACAGTCTGTTTCAGTTTGCAGCTTTTTTCCAATTTACTGTAGATTTTAGTGAAAAGAGATCTTATTATGCAAAATTCAAATTAGAAGTTAGTAGCCAAAGAATGAGTTTTGTTAACATGAGATCTTCAGAAATTGTGAGAGTTGTTAAGAAGCTAAAGGAAAGGATTGCAATAAGGTAATTTTATTTTCTACTTCTTCCTGAAAAATGTTTGGAGGGAAGAAAGTGCACTTGTATTCATTCTACCTCACCTGCTATTTATAGCAGGGTTCTGAATAGCAGGGATTAAATTACTAAAGTAATCTCTACTGGAAAACGTGGGGTAGATATTTTTTGTGATAAACTTGTCCAAGTGAAAATAACAGGGGCAACTGAAAACAGATTTCTTAAGATGAGGCGTGTTCCTGGTAAACAAAGTCACAGAATCTTACGATGTTAAGAAGAAGGACGTTTTGTAGACGAAAGTTTTGTGTAATCATCCCACTTGGTCCTGGTATCCATTAAGCTGTTCTAGCCTTTCGTATTGGCTATTGCCAATAGGAACTTGGCAGCACATTGAACTTGATGGTATTCTGCAATACGGGCAGAAAAGTGAGTGGCTAAAGTAATAAACTTTATGTACATCTCACCTTGAATTATTTGTGGGAAAATAATTCATACATCGAAACACTATAATGTCTTCCAGTCCTTGTGAAAGTCCCATCCAGGTTCAAACGCAGATTAGAAGATATTTTTTTAATCTTTATTAAGACAAATCTAATAAGCAATCAACAAGCAGTACTAATGGTGTTACATATGGTTAGAGCTATCGTATTTCAGAACAGATAAATATGATCAGAATTTTCAGAATTTACACCTTTACATTTGAAGTAGAGTATTACAGATTCTTAAATCTTGCCCTGTTTTTTTTATTGAGAAGACAGTGGCAGCTTAACAGATTTTTAAGGTCAATCTCAAATACTTTGTAAGGCCAGATGAGAATGAGAGGAAAATGGGAAAACCACTCACAGAATGAAGGACAGAGGAGTAATGGTTGATTTATATTTTACTGGCATGAGGACAACCAGAAAGCTTCACATGAACTTGATAAATTAATTACATTTGGACAAATAAGCTGCATGTTGGTCCTGTTGTGCCTTGCAAGTGGATTATTATTAACCCTTAGGATCAAAATAGATTAATCTTCTGAATCTGTAACTCGTTTGGACTGTGAATTCTAATAGGTTTCAGAAGAGGAAATTAAATTCTTTGAAGATTAAAGAGGTTTTGGTTGTCTGGTATATTTCTTTGCTTTAATTTTGCAGTGTGGTCATGAAGGATTTTTGTTATTACTATTATTCTCAATCTTTACGATGATCTAGTCTTGATTGCAGTTGGTGGATCTGGGGAAACACTGGGCGCTGTTGTTAAGTTACACTCTACAGATGAGCCTGATCCAAATAGAGTGCAGATTATTAGATGGGCACTGTATTTTGCAGGCTTCTATGTTGCACACGTGAAAATCTGTTTATCTTCCTCCTTCATTTAAAACTACTTTAAAACTAAGACATTATGTATGCTCAGTTTTTGAGCTTGCCGACTTTCCCAGTCTGTTGTTGCCAGAACATGCTCGGAAGGCAGGAAATACATGGGTTATGGAATTAGAGATCTTCTGTCTTTGTGATGTCCATGTTGTGTTTTTGTTCATTTAAACAGGAATGTGGTTTTATGGTAGTATTAAAGTGTCATCTTTTATTGTTTATGTACTTCCCCCTCTACTCCCCTGTTAACGTCTTCCAGTGCTCTGATTACAGTAGTATCTGGTCATAGCACAGGATTTTCTTGGAAGCTGTCCATTGCTGCAGCTATGATCTAACTGTATTCATGAAAAGATCTTTGGCATTTCCCCTGCTTTTAATTTACATTTAGAAGATGCAAATGAGGTATAATGAAATGGTAATATTGGGTCCTGTTTCTGATGAATGCTGCTCTTTGAATTGTGTTCTGGTTAATGTTTATTTTCTAGGAGAAATTTGGTTATACCTTTTATATTTGAATTGGGTTTGGGGCATAACTAGGATTCCTTACATGGAATTTCATAGGAATTTGACTTGCTGAAGAAGTGCATGTAAGTGGAAGAGAGATTATCTTGAACTCTTGTCTTCAACAGTGGAAATGCCATCTCTTGTCCATGTGTCCAGACTTTGTGTTCTTTGGGGATGTATTCTTGATCTCTCAAAACCAGAATTATACATAAGAAATGCCTAACAACGTGTCATAGGCAGCATGTACGTGTTGTCTGCTATAAATAATAGAATATCTCTGCTAAATAGAAAATTACTATGCTGTGGCATAACTTTTAAAAAGAAAAAGAAAATTGTGTTTTTCCTAATTTAGGAAATTTGTAATAATTATTTGTAGAACTGGATAGTTCAACATTCGTTAAACCTCCTTGGCAATGTCGCTTTAGAAGCAAATGATACTTTTCTGTGAAAAGATAATGGGAGTTGAAATAGGTTTCCAAAAGGAGAATGATTCTTTTTCTCCACCCCTCAGCTCCCCCCACCCCCTGCCTTCCCTCTGCAAAGCAGGGAACAGAAAATAGAAATTTGATTGATGATGAAGAAATATGATTGTCTTAGGTTTGAAGCTGATGGTCTGTATTTTTGGTATTCATAAAACTGAAATTTCCTTAAGCATATTTTCAGATTCATATAATTAATGTTCTACTTTAGACACTGAAATTAGAGTGTGTAGCTTTATTTACTTTTATGTGAGTGTAAATTATTATGTATATGAAGTGGTGTTCAGTCATAAAACATTTTTTATTATATGAAATTGCCAAAGACCTTTACTTTGTCGTTTCTTTCCCTGTTGTTGTACAATTGGAACAAAGCACATCAGTTTCTCTGATGCCGAAGTACTTGAATGTTATTGTTGTTACTGTTCCTCCAAAAATATTTTGCAGAGAATTACATTTTTTTTTCTTTTAAATGTCTACCTGTCTTTTCATTCCTTCTTTTTGTTATTTTCCTGTTCAAGGTGAAATTTAAATATACTTATCTTATAATGGAAATAGGATGTCAAAGGTTGAATAAAATACTGGAAACTCAATCTTACAGCATATGGTTGTCTTATCTGGGTTTTAAATATTGTTTCTTTCCTTTACAGAATGCTGCCTTTTTATATGGCCTTGGTTTGGTCTACTTCCATTACAATGCCTTTCAATGGTAAGTTGGAATAAATTAACAGTATCAGTATTGTACAGTGTTTTATTCGTAGGTGAATATTTTAACTGTAGTTTAGTGTGAGTGTATGATAGTTTAATTTTTTTAGTTGCAGATATGATGTTTGAAGATATACTGTCCTGGGTCACATATGTGACTTACTGTAACATACCTGTGCAACCACAGCAGTTGCTTGAAAAGGAAGACGCTTACAGGATAATTTTAGCTCCTTAGAATAGGATTCAGCAAGGGGGGATGGAGCAGTATGACTCGACAGATTTTTGTGAATTGTTGTTGTCAATAGTCTGTAGCCTGTGTTTGTTCGAAAGGCTGTTTATAAAAAAACTTTCTCTTGGGAAAGAAGTGGCAAAGTGGGCTCGTTTTCATTTAGCTTGGTCTTCAGTAATTTTTACATAGCTGTGTAACATGGAAGTTTTGGACGTGAAAAACGGTACACTCAGACTTGAATCAGAACATTTAAAACTGACATAAAAACTCAGAGTTGTAAATTCTGGCAGTGCTCTGTGGACTGAAAGGGGCGGCTGTTGGATGTGAGGAGGAGGACTAGTTTTCAGTCGGGGTTTTGGTTTTGCTTAATCTGTGATGAGAAAGAACGATGAATTGAAGAGGCTCAGTCACTGGGATTCTGTTGAAAGCTCCTCAGACTTTAATTGGGTTTTATTCTTGCAGAGATACAGTTAGTGTAATTGGAAAAAAGTCAGTAAGGTGCAGTGTTTAGGTCAGTGCCTTTTTACACTGAGTATGGAAACTGTTAATAAAAATAAGTGTGGCTTTACTACTTGATTGATTACTAAAAAGTTTATCATCTTACTGGACTAAGTATGACTGCAGTTAAGGAGGCAGTGAGTGACTACTGACTGATGGTTTGGAACAATAAAGTGGGATTTCTCTCCTACCCCCCCGCCCCCCGCAGTGAGTTGTTTCTATGTATCCGTAAGACAAAAGATTTGTACTTTCCTCAGGATAATGTAAATAAGCTTTTATTCTTCAAATTAAAATAAGTTGGTTAAATCATGATCTCAGAGCCTGGATTTATTTTTTTTTTGTCAGTCTTGCAACTTACTGCTTTCTTTATTAATAGTGGTGAATGAATGCCATGTATTGTACGTGGCACGCAATTCTGTTGCATTCTAATTAACAAGAGAAGAACTGAAAAGTTTTTGGAAAACCTGAGAATCCACTGTTTTAAGATTGTGATCGATCTTGGTTGAATTTCGCCAAGTTTCAGAGTGTTCTTGTTCTTATGCAGGCTTGGCTTCGTCATTTAACATTCAAGAATATTTTGTGCACCAGTTCTTCTTACAAGGGATGTCTTATTACCATTTGCATTGTGAAAACGGTAGAAAACTGTAAGATAAAACTTAATGTGACAAAGTAGTTAGCTTTAGAGTCGTTGATTTAAAAAAAAAAACAACCACCAAACGTGTTGAACATAGACTTTTGCCATCAGTGGATCGTGCTATTTAGCACCTTCCAGTGAATGGAGCAACAGTCAGGTGATTGTGAGGCCTAAGTATTAATGAATTACAGCTTTGAATTAATTTAGATTTTTCTTGTATGCCTTTAAGTAAGCTTGTTGAGAACATGAGTATGAATCGATCCCTTAAATTAGAGTGTTTTAACTGCACATAGAGCTTTATGTTAAGGTTGTGTATAATAATCATATTTGCCATTTCATTCATACTACGAAGTTACGTATAGTGTGGCACTAAGGAAGTTGTGTATCATTAGACTAATGGGTAGAATTTTGAGAGAACGAAAATCTAACACAGATAAAATCTTACACATTTGTCTGTAGTTGTTTTGTGGGTTTTTTTAATCCCTTTGAGTGCTCCCCCCTGCCCCTTTATCATGTTTTCTTGGGCTAGAGGAGGGGGATTTGTGATTGTGGATGTTTGTGTGACGAAATCATGATAAACTTGGAGGTGATAGCAAGTCATTCACAGTAGATATGTTCTTCTTTGTAAATCTTAATCCTCCATCAGAATCTGTTGGAGATTGCAGGGAGAATCCTCCTTCTTTCAGAGCGAAATACTAGTCTAACTGTCTTATTTCCTGCTGCAGCTACTCCATCTATTTATGTTCATAGAGTACCTGGATCTGTATATTTCAGGCAGGTAGAGGAGACCTCTAGACTGTTCAAGATGGTTTAAGCTATCGTGCTTCATCCATTAACTTCCCTTTTTTCTTTCTATTCACACCGCTTTAGATAATTCATAGATTTTAATGAGAGACATGTACATAGTCCTTTGAAAAGAATGAGTAAGGAAGTGCTTGAGTTTTTTTTGTCTCATATAAATAGGGATAATAAAAAAGCAAGTGAGAATAAAGTCAGTTTTAGAATTCTTGTTCATATTTTTACATTATTTTTTAAGTTTTCCAGCTTTCATAAAAGGAATTGTTGGATTTGCTCCAAGACACATATGCAATTCACTGTAATTCAATATTGTACACTTCTCTATATACTAAAGCAGCATTACGCTACTTTAAGTACAAATCTTAGCTTATGCATCATTTTATATCGGTGATTTTGTTTGACTATTTATGCAAGAACTGAAAGTTCTCAGTGTATATACAAATGTTGCAATAGTGTGATCAGACCAAAACTATTTCATGCAATTATAGTAAGATATGCCATAAGGGATTATCTCCATAAATTGAATCAAGTGTAGTAAAACAGGTCTTATAGATCTTAAATTTTGATATTCTGTTCTTTTGCACCATTTATCATCAAGCAGTAAGTAAAGTGGTTGGCTGATTTTTCCCTGTTGTTTTCCTGTTTCTTGAATAGAGTAGAACACCAGGAGAATAGAAATAGCTGAGATACATAACTTGAATAATTTTATATCCTCCTTTAGTCATCTTTTAGATTGAACACTTAAAGATTTTCAGTAGTTCATCAAAGACTACCCTTCGTTTCTGTGCAATAGCTGCATCCAAGTATAGTGGCTTGGATGCTAAATTTTTTCTTCAGTAAGGATTCTGAGCCTGACTGGTCAGTCATCTTCACAGAGTCTCACTAAGATAAAAAGATGGAGTCCATGCTCTACAATTGTCTCCTGCAACTGGCTCTGACACCCTCTTTGGATCCCACTGTACCAAGCGTGGTGCTCCAAGGTCAGCCTGCAGTGTTTGCAGTGTTTTCAGTGACTGTTATCTTGCAAATTGCTGGACAATGTGTGTGAGAGAGACAGACTGTTCCTCAGAAACACCTTACAGGAGACTGACATCAGTCACCCTTATTGCCCCATTGAACATACTCTGAGTCTCCTCAGTCTTTCTTATCAGGATTTCTTATCAGCCATAGAAGTTGTGTTATGTAAAACTCAGTCCTTCAACATTGACACTTTCCCAAAACACAGTCTTGAAAAAAGCCAAAGACTAATGCAAGAGATGATCCAGGCCCTTTTCCTCAGCTTCGTCATGGCTAAAGATGCAGGCTGCCTGAGGAAAATCTGTCGTCTCTGACTGGAACTTCTTGGCCCTGCGACAGCCATCCTTGCCAAAACATTCAGTATCAAATGATATCTAGAACCACTGTCTCTGCTTCTGGCTCCTTCAACGTAACCTCACAGCCTGCCCAGTCTAGTTGTACTGCTGCATCCTGGCACTTCTGTAAGTTCTATGCGTTGGAATTTTTTAGTGTAAGTTTGACTCCTCGGAACAGGAGCATGGGAGTTCAGCACAAAAAGCTTATTTCCTGTCTTCAACTCTGATTGAAAATTGGATCTTGACATCAAGAAGGCAGCTGCAGTCTTTGATTATTCTTACCTAATTCAGGTAAAGACATTTAATGGGCAACAGGGAACAAACATATACATTCCCCACTGGGAGAGTGCAGCACCTCCATCTGCAACATAAAAGTATTGAGCAGGCTCTCCATATCCCATTCTGCTGCTGCTGAGAATTCCACAACCCTCCAAAGGCCAAGCAGACAGCAGAAGATAGCCCTCAGTTGTCATCTATGGTACTGCATCCCATCTCATGGTCACTATGTAGGCCTCCAGACACCTGAGAATCACTTTTCTCCTAGATGTGCTTTGAAGGCTTCAGCAAGGCAGGAGCATTCTTTTCCACATACCTACAGGAAAACACAGAAAACTTGCCATCACCTGTAAGATGGCCTTAGTGCCAATCCCGTTGGACCATTTACTTGAGCTGTAGGAGTCTGGTTTCTCTCTTATGCTCTCTGGCTGTCATTCTCTCTCATCTTTTTCCAGAAAATGAAGTTTTGCTCTTGTCACAGTTGTCCTGAAATAGTAAAGCAGCTGTTCAAACTGCTTTTAAAGTACCCAAGTCTACAGTGGAATTTTAACTTGTTTTCAGTAGTCTCGTGTGACAAGCTTCAGTACTGCACACCTTATTTATCTGCCCGAGAAACTATTGGTTTATGGTGGTTGCTGTTTGCCTATGAGAACAGGAGAGTCTTGTGCTGTCAAGGTCCGTTCTTTGCCCTTTATTTGCTTCCTCTCTCGATACATATATTATTTTTTTTCTCAGGGGCAAGCTGTTAGTAACACAGCAAAATTTATCTTTGAGTGGGTTGGCTTTTGTTGTTTGGTTTTATTTTTTTCCCCCAGCAGGACCAGATCCTTCAGATGGTTCTCAAGCTGTTTGTGTCAGTGATTGGCAGACCCAAGGAACTGGGCTCTTCCACACACAGAGTAGTCAAGTGGGTAGCAGGGTGTGTAGGAATGCAAATTGCCTAGTGGGGACCTCCTTCACTGGTGTGGGAACACCCCACCCGTCATGCAGATAGCAACCACTGGACTACTTCGCCGCGTCTGCTCTGCACGCCTCCAGGTGTTTCAGTCGTTTGTGCCATTGTGGATGGCACACAGCGTTTGATGAAATAGTCCAGAGGCTGTGGTTTGCATGAAAGGCTCTGAGATTCACCCAACTGACAGTGATGTTGTACTGGTAATTGGCAGTCTGTGGAGTTCCTGCTTTGGAAACACCTGCAATGGAAAGTCCAGGAGGGA